ATCAACAGACATGACCTGCCGAACCTTAGAGGTTTGTAGCTTACGTTGCTTTTTTTTTTTTTTTTTTTTTTTTTTTTCCCCACTATACATGGAAGTAGTACTTCCCTATTTATTACCTTAATTTCTTTTTATTCACTTGATGCATATATATTCTTTTAATCCCAATCACAAAATTTAGACAATAATTAATTTGGTATACCTGATTGAATTCTTCTACGTTAATTGATTTACTTTTTTCAAGTTCCACTATACATGGAAGTAGTACTTCCCTATTTATTACCTTAATTTCTTTTTATTCACTTGATGCATATATATTCTTTTAATCCCAATCACAAAATTTAGACAATAATTAATTTGGTATACCTGATTGAATTCTTCTACGTTAATTGATTTACTTTTTTCAAGTTCAAATCAGTCATACTCAATTAAGTCAACTCCTTATATCTTTATGTGAATCAAAATAAGCTTTTAATCAAAATAAATCAAACACCAAAGAATTTAATTAATGACCCCAATAATCATAAAAGTGTGTTTCTACCTTTTTATCCAAATTGTTGAATTTTACTACATGATCTAAAACAAAAAATGGGGGGGGGGGGGGGGGGGGGNTATGATTAATCATACCAAATTTCAAAATCCTACTGAACTCAGTAAGGGCTTCTCTTGCCAATTCCACTCGCCAAAGTTTGCCTTCCTCTCTCTCTCTCTCTCTCTCTCTCTCTCTCTCTCTCTCTCTCTGCACACTAGAATCTCTCCCTACCCCTTCTCCCCATCAGAGGTGGCATTGGCTCCTATGAATACTCTGACGACCTCTCTGGTGACCGCCCAGGCTCCTACGATAGAAAAATCTCCAAAAATTGAAAACAATTTCTCTCTTTATATTCGATTGTAGAAAAATCTCCAAAAATTTATCCATGACCAGATTTATTGTTCGTGACTATATTTGTGTTTTATGTTACTATTTGTGATCAAATTTATTTTCGATGAGTCATATATAATTGTCTAATTTGTAACTGTATGTAACCAATTCACCGATCTATGTTATTTATGATTAATTGTGATCATATCTTTGATGTGACTAGCTGTGACCAAATTTATATTTAATGTGACTATCTATAATTAGGTCAATCTTAACTATGACCAAGTCATAGCGGGTCAGAATCAACAAAAAATTGGTCACAAACAGTTACAACAAACACATACTTGGTCCCACGGGTCACTACAAACAAATCTCCAAATACCTCAGACCAGTATTACAATCCACCACTATTACTTCCAATGCACCACCATTAACACCTTTAACTTAAACTGACAACCATAAATACTAATTTCACCTCAAATCCACAACAACAATCATCACCAACATAATTTCTACCAATGCCTTCAAAAAACACAACCAGCACCGCTACATTCTCAAATGTCGATCATAGTGATCAACACAACTGCAAATTTACATCACCGACAAGTTTGCACATCACAATCACAGCCATCATTGGAGGTGACTGCAACAACTCTGATTGGAGCAAAAACTTCACATTTCAATCCCAACGGGTTGTTGTGTTAACACCACTAGCTCTGGTGATGCCTGTGCCGGTACCATCACAGCGATCGACTATACTCATCAAGGGGCATCTATTTATGGTCTTATACCATCGAACAACAGCACACAATCCAAATTTATAAGCCCGTTCTTCACACAATTGAACACACACATTTCACTTTCAATTTTCGACACCGATAGTGAGCCCCACGATCACAAACCACCTTCTCTGGCATCCCCACCCACACCATGTCGTATCTATTGCTACCATGGACTTTCATCAATTTAATCAGAATATAGAGTAGGGTGAGGTGGGATAGGGAGTGAGGATGGGTGAGTAGAGAGGGAAATAATTGAGAGAGAGTTTGATTAGTAAATGATGTAAGATAGAGATGTTTTATATTTGGAGAGAGAGAAAAAAAATTTGCAGCAATTTTATTGCAATTATATAGAGAAAGAGTTGGTGTGGGGGGGGGGGATGAGATAGGGGAGGATAACTGTAGTCTAATTAGGACTTAATTATTGAAAACTTTTTAAAATTTGATTTTGAAATTGAGACTTTAGATGTAGGGTTTAAGGTAATTTTCTTTAAATTTACTTATTTTTTTGCTAAACTTATTAGCCTCTATTTATCAAATTTATAAATGATTTATAGTGAAAAATAATAGGAGAAATAGTAACTATAAATTGTGTATTTAATAATTAATATTTATGAATATATGTCGAAAATTAGTATTTGATTTAAATAAATTCATAAAAATTAATGTATTTTTTTTATTCAAATAAAGAGTTAGATATATTGAGGAATGAGGAAATCTATGTCAAATTCGAATGCTGCTGATTCGACATAAAGATGTTTCTAGGTTATGAACTATAGGTTTCCACATAACTCTACCCGTAAACTTCCTAATTCTGATTTATTCAACAGCGAAGAAAGCGTATTCATGCAAAATTAATATATTTCCAAAATTCTCGTAGACTTATCAAAAAAGTAAGTACCAATTAAAATTCTTCCCGCATCTTCCCTTATGGGAATCAAGATTGCTTTCCCACTATCGATGAACATTTATCCTCATGATACGCAGTATTTGGCATTATAGATTTGATTAAAATGATAATCCCTAATCCAACAAACATGGTCAACCATCCTCTTCCTTCCTCTATAGCCTTAACACATTGGGCTTGCATACTCGATGTATTCAAATTATCTAGAAAATTGGGGGGAGGGAATATCCTTTTGAAAATATTCATAGGGCGCTACCCTCAGAGGCTGGTATTACTTATTGACGTGTTCGAGGAATGCACCACTACTAATGGTCATGAAGTCATCAATCAAGGGTTGGAAGTCCTCCTTTTATGTTCGAGATACCTAGGAGTTCGAAAATGGTCCAGTTTGAGAACTAAAGATCGTAATTCTCGAACAAGCAATCGAAAAGATTAAAAGATTCTGGAGCATCCTCAGGATTAGATATTGTTCCTCCAAGGATTCGGGTAATTTTCTTCCCTTTCATCGAGAAGATATAGCCCTTTACATGAGTATTTTTACTTTAGGTCAGTATGTATATTCCTACTTTCTGCCTCTCTCTTCATGTATTGACCTATATGAAATCAAATCTTACAAAGACAAGGTAGATGCCATCAGTTGTCTCTTTGAAGTGCAAAAAGACCACTGGTCATTAACCACAACAAGTACTTTGTTAAGTTTAACTTGATTTTAGTTAGGTATGTTTGGTATCTCAAATTTTAGCCCCTATTTGATGCCCATTACCTGAAAATGAAAATGGGGGGAATAGTATTTTTTTAGAAAAATGAGTGGTTGAAAAAGAAGGAAAAGTTTTCGATTTACGTGTAATATTATTTTATGGAAGATTGTGTGGTTGAAAATAAGAGAGAAAAATGAAATGTAATGTAATTTAATTCAATTGGGATCAAACATGGGCTTAGCCAATCTAAGTTAATTATTTAACTCTTTAACTTCATTGCTTCCTTTTAGGAGAAATCAATGAGAGTATTGGCTACTCGAGCCTAGATATGTTGAACTGCCAATTGAGGCGACCACTTGGTTTGACCACTCCTGTCGACTCCGTTCTTTTGACTGCTCCCAACACTACTCCTCCTATGTTCAAAAAGAAAGAGGGTGGTGGTTTTTACTATCCTACTTATAATAAGAATTCTACTTAAGAGCTTACAAAAAGATCTCGAGTTAGTTGCTCGAAGATAAGCTGAAAAGGCATAGCTCGCAGCGATTGCCAAGGCTTAGGGAGGCCTTGGCGAATGTTTCCCAGTAAAAGGCCTCAGAATGAGTCCAACTCATACAAAGCTATCGATTTCTTGACCATTTGTCCCAACTGATCGTTTAGTAACACATCATGGGAGAAGAAAAATACAAGAAAAGATTGAAGTACATCAACGAGTTTGAAGGGAGAATGAGAAAAAGTTGAAGTCCTTGCACCAAGAATCTTCTTCTCCCCAAATTAAGAAATTCAAAACCCTTGTTTTTTAATTTTTCCTTTGCTTTGCTTTTTCTACCCATTTTCTCTCTAATTATACATGATGGATTACTTTTTATACCTAAGCAAGGTCTATTTACGAGGGTAGAAGAATTTTGGGAGTTGTACTTCAAAAAGTAATCAAAACAAATCTAGAAAACACAATAACACAAAATAGCAAAACTTGTTAATTTGAGTTGGACAACGGCAAATAATGGTCTATGAATTATTACTAGCATCATCGTCATCCAAGTTGATCCCGGCCCATTCAACATTTTTTCGTGCGGCCTTGATCATTTCTCCAAGTTTTTGTTAATCTTCGATCCTTTTTCATTCTTAATTTTCAAAATCTATTAGATTCGTTCTCGAAACTTCATAACCATTCGAAATTGATGCATCTCAAATTTTGAAAGTGTACAATTTAATTTCCAAACTTTTCAAAAGTTGAAGTTCATCCCGAAACTACCAAATTTCTTCTTATAGCTAATAGCTCTCTTTCTACTTCTAATAATTCCCATGCCGTCCGGTTAGTCTTTGATTGTTCCAAACCAATTCCAAATTAGCTCAAAATCGTCCTTTTTGCATCATTGCAATAAGTCCCAATTTTTCCTACTATTAACATAATTACACTAAATTAGGTAGACATTCGTTCAAAAAGCGATATTATATCACGTTCAAAAGCAACGATAAGTATGCAAAAAATACACTTATCAATAGTCCTAGTGCGAACAATAATCAGAACTCTTTAAATCCACTTTATTACTTTGTTCAATTGACATCGTACTTTTGCAATTACACCACAATACGTACACAAATGGCAAATTTGCTTAAAGCATTTTTTAAATGGTTCTATTTACCCAATTTCCCTTATTCAGGGGATCTAATATGTTTTTAAACCTTATATGTCCGGGCCACTGATTCATACACTTCATTGCAAAGTATAAAATATTACCAAAAATAAATAGGAATCATGAATCAATAAAATAACCACAAACGTAATAACTTTTGTCGAACCATATGTCCTTCCCCACAATACCTTAAGTATGTGTAAGGCTGTAAAATTTGTAGACAAAGCTTCGGTGATAGAACATACTAGTTTTGTTATAGTTTACAATAACTTATCTCACAATCCGGATGGACATTCAAATACAAGTGAAACTGGTTTATTTTACAGAGGAATTCCAACAGCATTTTTAGAGAAAGATGAACTAATTAGTGTGGCTCCTGAGGAAGTTCAGAATAAGATCATTCACCTGGGCAACCAGTTGCTCTTGAACAAAATGAGTTCCTTCAGGTATGAAACTTATCTCCAAGTTAGGCACAAATGTTTTCACTTTTCCGCTAGTTATGTAATCCGCCATTCCTGGGAATTTGAACACGTAATCTTTCTCGCCCATGATCAGTAGAGCTGGAACTTCAACTTTCGGATCCGGTTTATCAACCTGTTCGTGAAATGACCTAAAACATAATGAAATTGACACATTAACGTTACAATGGATCAATGAGATGTTATGTATTAAACCTTAACCCCTAACTCCAAGAGCAACAATAAACATGAGAAAGCAGAAAACGACGAAAGATTGCACAAGTTAATATTGGTTCACTCTCAATGTGAGGGATGTTACATCCACTCGCTTCTACTGATTGTCATCGTGAAGAGGGTTATAGACTTATAGTGGTGATCCCACACCTCTTTGTATGTGTCAATCTAAATACTTCCCTGTGATATAAGTAGGAATATTAGGTCAATCTCGTCTTATGATTAGGCTCCAGTACTCCACACAACAATGGCTCCCTAATGTGAAGAGTAAAAACATCATGCACACCTATAAGGAACCTGAAGTGCAGTCTGGAACCCAGATTTCTCATACAACATTCCATAGGTCGCAAGATCCTCCTCAGTGAACCAAGAAGGTAAAGGAGTGGACGAGTCCACCAGGTCCATGATCTCCTCGTTTTCATGAGCGATTGGTATTTCACTTCTGGAAAACAGGATATAAACATTCCTCACTACAGTTTTGGCATCAAGTCGACCAAAATCGGATTCAGCACGCCCAGGTTCCTGCGAGAAAAATATCGTGGGAAGTTAGAATTAGTTAATTGAGGTTATCTAGAACAGGCAAGCAGAAAAAGCAAGATTAAACCTTCCATCTTGACATGTAGAAGCCTTCAGGGAGGTGCTTATCAGAAGTGAGAAAACGAGGAAGGTAGAACGGCACACCTAATGTCACAAATCCCGAGACCCTGTCCTGGTAGAGAACAGCAAATATAGAAGCTACAATAGCTCCAAAATCTTTAGCAATCAGAAAAGCCTGTGTAAACAAGAGCCTGTTTGAGCCCCATTTTTATTGAAGAATGGATTCAAAATAATAGATTGATGGAGAATATGTGATAAAAAAATAAGGAAAATTTTCGGGTTTGCGTGTAATATTATTTTATTAAAGAATGCATGGTTGAAAAGAAAAGAGAAAAAAATATATTTTGGAAATAATGGCGATCAAACAAGAGCCAAGTGTAAGGCATTACAGAGAGAGAGAGCGCGCACATTTGTGTCTATTGGATGGCACAATGATCATTATATTCTGTACCAATATCACATCAATCATGTAAGAAACAGAGAAAAATATTTCTACAAGGTTATGGCGACTCAGATTTATTTTTTAGTTCATGTAAAGAAATTCTATTGCAAGAACTAATAATCATGAAAAATAAAAGATACCCTTCAAAAGAATCAAAAAGAAGAAAGAGTGAAAACATTCTTCCAATCCCAATAACCTCGGGCATTCTTCACCATAGGTAAGTAATTGTTTTGTAACTGACCTTTAAGTTCAAAATGGAACATTCAGGTGCACAAAATATCATCTAACTTTTCATTATATGATTACTGAAGCCATTCTATCATTTAAAACATAGAGCATATGATAAAATTTTGACATTTAAAGTAAGCAAAAGCCATTCCTTATTTCTGCCTATTTATGAAAATTTTATTGGCTTGATAAACATTAAATATGTAACATGGGGACGCCACTGCACCTATGGTGCAGAGGGGAAAAACCCTCTCTTCTCTATAAAAATCACCAATCTCTTCACTCCAAATTCCAATAATTGGACAGCGTACCAGTATGCTTTGTCAATTTTGGACTAAAGAAATTAAACTTTAGAAAATCATCAGTAAGCAATATTGAGAGCTATTTTCTTTTTTCATTTTTATACCTCCATTTTTGATCGATAATCACAAGATCAACTTCAAACAACAGCAAAATCAAGGAGATTAATAATCCTGTACCTTGGTGATGCTAAGAGCATCATAAAGCGCAAGAAGGTCACCAACGAGGTCTGAGAAGGTGGTCTTCTGGGGTTCGGGTGGTGGATCGGAAAGCCCGAAACCTCTGTAATCAAGCGAAATGGCTCTGAAACCGGCACTTGCTGCTGCAATCATCTGGTGGCGCCAGGAGTACCATATTTCTGGGAAACCATGCAAGAAAACCACCGCTGGCGATGATCCACTCCCGATTTCAGCCACGTGAAGTTTCAGCCCGTTCGCTTCAACGTATTTGTGCTCTATCTGGTCCATTTTCGTCGCTCACTGTGAAAAATTCCTTCAACTGCCGTGTTATTTGTAACTTTGTAAGAAACTGCGAGTCAGTTTGGTAGTAATTTTTTTCATTATGTATTTTTTTTCATCTACTTTTATTAAAATAATATTATACGTAAATTAAAAAAAATCTTATTTTTTTAGCACACATTTTACATCAATTTATTATTCTAAAATGTATTTTTACATAAAAATGCCTATCAAACATTTGATATTTTGTACTCTGCGTGGCTTTGTATGGACAGGGAAATACATGTTTGATAAAACTTTTAGCCCTCGTTTTTCTCTTCGCTATTATTTTCAACCAAACAATTTTTCATAAAATAATATTACACGTAAATCAAAAAAAATTTCATTCTTTTACAATCACATATATTTTTTTTTTTTTGAAAATACTAATCCAAACATTAAAATTTGAAAAAAATGAGGGCCAAACGGGGACTTAAGATCCGTTTGGTAGGAATTTTGATAATTAATTTTTTTGACTGTTAGAAGAAAAGTGGAGGCCATACATGAGTGAAAAAATCAAAATGATGGTTGAAATAGTGAAATAATGATAAAAAAATCAAATTTTTGAAGTGAAAAATCCCTACCAAACGGGGTCTTAATTATTTCCAACTTGACACGACTTATGAAAATTTTAAACTCATCTCATTTTTTTTCTCTCTCTCTCTTTAAGATGTTTTGGGGTACTTTTGAAAGTAGGCAAGTCAAAATGCCATTTTTTCACTTTAACCAAAAATTTTTGCCAATCTTTAAAATGGTCATTTATTGAGTAAAAGACAAAAATATTCTTAAATAGTTTATACAATTACAAAAATAGAATTTTATTTAAAAAGATCAAAATACCTTTAAGTTACAAATTAAAGAACCAAACACTTTTCACTTTATATTTAATTATTTATGTCAAACACTTACTCAAATAAAAAATTAATATTTAATTTACTTTCTTGTTTAAATATTTCATTAATTAATTATCTTAATCGATTATGTATATTATTTATTTAATATTTAATTAATCTATTTAATTATTTATTTAATCACTTATTTAAATAAAAAAATTAATGTTTAATTTGATTTCTCATTTAAATATTTCATTAACTAATTATCTTAATTGATATATGCATATTTAATTAATTATTTAATTATATATTTTAAACACTTACTCAAATAAAAAAATTATATTTAATTTGGTTTCTCTTTTGAATATTTGATTAATTAATTATCTTAATTGGTCCTTATTTAATTATTTATTTTAAACACTTACTCAAATAAAAAAATTAATATTTAATTTGGTTCTCGTTTAAATATTTCTTTATTAATTACCTTAATTGATTATGTATATTGTTCATTTAATATTTAATTACTTTATTTAATTACTTATTTAATCACTTATTTAAATAAAAAATTAATATTTATTTTAATTTCTTATTTAAATATATTTTAATTAATTGTCTTAATTAGCTATGTATATTATTTATTTATTGTTTAATTATTTATTTAATCACTTAATTAAATAAAAAATTAATATTTAATTTAATTTCTTATTTAGATATTTCATTAATTAATTATCTTAATTAGTTGTGTATATTATGCATTTAAAATTTAATTAATTAATTTAATTATTTATTTAATCACTTATTTAAATAAAAGAATTAATATAAATATTAATTCTAATTTAAATATTTCATTAATTAATTATATTAATTAATTATGTATATTCTTTATTTAATATTTAATTACTTTGTTTAGTTATTTATTTAATCACTTAATTAAATAAAAAATAATATTTAATTTAATTTCTTATTTAGATATTTCAGTAATTAATTATCTTAATTTGTTATGTCTATTATTAGTAATTAATATTTAATTACTTTGTTTTAGTTATTTAAATAAAAATATTATACCATAATGTACAAGTGACATAACATTATTGGAGATTTGAAAAATAGTTTTTTCGATCCTCCACTCATGAAATTTCACATGGATATTATGGACATCCTTATGAATTAGTACATGTAGAATTATCCAATATTTAATTTGATTTCTCGTTTAAATATATTTTTATAAATTACCTTAATTGGTTATGTATATTTAATTACTTTATTTAATTATTTATTTTAAAAACTTACTCAAATAAAAAAATAATATTTAATTTAATTTCTTCTTTAAATATTTCATTAATTAATTATTTTAATTTGTTATGTATATTGTTTATTTGATATTTCATTATTTTATTTAATCACTTATTCGAATAGAAATTTAATATTTAATTTAATTTATTCTTGAAATAACTCATTAATTAATTATCTTGATTGGTTATGTATATTATTTATTTAATATTTAATTAGAACATAAATCACATGGTGTATGAGAATATCTAACAGAGATGGGAGTCAAACTTTATGCATTGTCACATTTTCAATACATCGAACATTATTCAAGAATGTCGATACTATATTTCCTCTACCAAATGAAGTCGAGTGAGAAGTTCTTGATTATAGTATGTTACTCTCTACCCAACGAATGTGTAATATCTATTTAAATCCTATGTAATCTCTATTTATAGTGCGTTATTGATTTCCTCAATTTTCTTTATTTATAGTGTGTTATATATTAATTAAGAGTAATTAGTTATTTATTATACAATTACATAAAAACTAAAGTATAACAAACGTTTTAAAAAAATGCTTACATTTGGAATTATTACAATTACGGATCACAATATACATAAAAGAACACTTGCATTTTAATGTGTGTTTAGTTTATTAGCTCTACACCACGTTCGATGCTAAAACTTCAATATACTTCAATTAGGGATGTCAATGGATTGGATTTTGATCCAAATCCGATGAAATTAATGGGAGATGGATTTAGGGTCTCAATTCGATAATCCAATCAAGATTTGAATTCGATAATTCGTTAACTAAATGAATCAATAGATTGGATTTTGATCCGAATCCAATCTGAATCCAATGAAATTAACGGGAGATAAATTTAAGGTTTTAATCCGATAACTCAATCGAAATTCAGATTCGATAATCCTTTAACTAAATGAATGAAATATGGATATAGGTCATTTTCGATCTGATAAATAAATAAAATATTTATTTTTCTAATTTTTTCAATTTCGGATCGGATATCCAATAACATAATTAATTGGATATGGATTTAACATTCAAATATTCGTCGGATTATTGGATCGGATATGATAGGATAATTATTATTAACGGATCGGATAGAATTCAAGCAAATCTGATCTATTTACAGCCCTAACTTCAATGCGAAGATTTCACAATCACTCGGGTCGATTTTACGAAAGAGGTTGGGCAACGTACCGTCAATAGATGTTCTCTTCTTTGTCTCGATCGTGTATGGAGAAACAATGTGTTGTGTGACAACAATCTAGTTCTCTTGCTAACCATGTGCTCTGGCACGTCAATAATATGTTTCGTACAAAGTGTCATCCAAACTCGTGACATTATCTGTCAAGTTGGGGGTCATCTTCAGCATAGTTATGCATATTATTTATTTAATATTTAATTACATTGTTTAATTATTTATTTAATCACTTAATTAAATAAAAAATTAATATTTAATTTAATTTCTTATTTAGATATTTAATTTATAAATTATCTTAATTGATTGTGTGTAGTGTGTATTTAATATTTCATTACCTTATTTAAATAAATTTTACAATATATACAATTATTTCATAAATAAAAAAATATATACAATTATTACAATTATTTCGTCCCCACCACTGGCATCTCTCTCATCTCCACTAACATCTATAATGATTCTAATGAAATATCTGTGTACATCCCCACCCCTCCACCATTACTCTCCCTGTCACCATCTCCGCTCTCTCTGTCACTGTTTGGGACACCTATCACCTACGTACTGTATCTCCTCGAATATGACTCTGACCCTCCTCCTCGATCAATGGTATCAGCTCAGTGAGCAATTCAAGCTGACATATTAATATGTCACCAAGTTAATGACTATGCATTGAGATTTCGAAATGACGTACAATATAAATCACAAAATGAATAATATTTATCTCAGGATCGTTGAAGAAAGTTGATAACTGTCAGCTTTGTCGCATGGATAGTTGTTGAATGTGTCAATGTAATCGACAACCTCCAAATGAAAGACACCGATCAACGTCTTCTTGTGATGATACCTCGGTATGCTCTCTAATATAAACACCATCTCCAACTTCAACTTGTTAAACATATCGTCGTATTTCTTGAATGCATCTCCTAACTGTGCCAGAGTTACCGTCATAAGTAGGATCGGTGTAACAGGTCTGCATGCTCCTCATCCAACAACTCTAGGACTAATGCAAAGCTGATAAATTTATAGTTCGACGTAATTTTGTCAGGAATCTGTCTTATGACGGCGTCCAAATGGTAATCCATCTTGTAAAATTTAAAATATTTATATTTCTTTGTTATTTATGTCAATTAAATATTTTTATTTATTAATTAACATTTAAGTTACTTGTTTATTAAATTTATTACAATTAGTTATTTATTATCGTTTAAATAATCATTTAATTATTATATAAATGTTCATTATTTATTTTTGTGCATTTCAATCAATTATTTATTCCAATTGTTTTTCATTTATTTGTTTCAATTGTTCATTTAAATTATTTGATTTAATTATTTATATTGATTGATTATTTAAATTATTTATTGAACAAGTAAACGTAAATATTTAATTTTTATTTTAAATGTTAGAAATTTATTTCAATTAAATTTTAATTACATATTTTGATTATTAACATTTATTCATTATTTACATTTTTTATTTCTCATTTAAATAATCATTTAATTATTATTTAAATGTTAGTTATTTATTTTGTGCATTTCAATTAATTATTTATTCCAATTATTTTTTATTTATTTGTTTCAATTTTTCATTTAAATTATTTGATTTAATTATTTATGTTGATTGATTATTTAAATTATTTATTGAACAAGTAAACGTAAATATTTAATTATTTATTTTAAATATTAGAAATTTATTTCAATCAAATTTCAGTTACATATTTTGATTATTAACAA